ACGATGAGATTGTGAAGGAGGTGTCGGCGTACCTGAAGAAGGTTGGGTACAACGTGGAGAAGGTGCGCTTCATCCCCATCTCCGGCTGGCAGGGCGACAACATGATTGACAAGTCGGAAAATATGCCGTGGTACAAGGGCCCCACGCTGCTGGAGGCACTCGACATGCTGGAGCCCCCGGTGCGCCCCAGCGACAAGCCGCTGCGCCTGCCGCTGCAGGACGTGTACAAGATCGGCGGTATCGGCACCGTGCCGGTCGGTCGCGTGGAGACGGGCACGATGAAGCCCGGCGACGTGGTGACGTTTGCGCCCGCCAACGTGACGACGGAGGTGAAGTCGATTGAGATGCACCACGAGCAGCTGGTCGAGGCCACGCCCGGCGACAACGTCGGCTTCAACGTGAAGAACGTGTCCGTGAAGGACATCCGCCGTGGCAACGTGTGCGGCAACTCGAAGAACGACCCCCCAAAGGAGGCGGCCGACTTCACGGCGCAGGTGATCATCCTGAACCACCCCGGCCAGATCGGCAACGGCTATGCGCCGGTGCTCGACTGCCACACCTGCCACATCGCGTGCAAGTTCGCCGAGATCGAGTCCAAGATCGACCGCCGCTCCGGCAAGGAGCTTGAGAAGAACCCCAAGTCGATCAAGTCCGGTGACGCCGCCATGGTGCGCATGGTGCCGCAGAAGCCCATGTGCGTGGAGGTGTTCAACGACTACGCTCCTCTTGGCCGCTTTGCCGTGCGTGACATGCGCCAGACGGTCGCCGTCGGCATCATCAAGGCGGTGACGAAGAAGGAGGGCGGTGCCGGCAAAGTCACCAAGGCCGCCGCAAAGGCCTCCAAGAAGTGATATGAACGTAATTGTTTGTGAGCAAGACCTTTTTTTGTTTTTGTTTTTTGTTTTTTTATGATTTCTTTGGATTGTAATTTTAGTGTGCGTGTCTGTCTTTCTTTGTCTCTCTCTCTCTGTGTGTGTGTGTGTGTGTGTCTATACATGCGTGCCGCTGGCCCCCGTGATTTCTTTTCCGCCCCACCCACGTTTTTCTTTGCTGACGCTAGGTCTGCTACACAGCTTTTTATTGTTTTTTCAGTCCCGCAAGGTAAAACACGTATAATGGGGAAGGAAAAGGTGCACATGAACCTCGTGGTGGTCGGCCACGTCGATGCCGGCAAGTCCACAGCCACTGGCCACCTCATCTACAAGTGCGGAGGCATTGACAAGCGGACGATTGAGAAGTTCGAGAAGGAGGCGGCTGAAATCGGCAAGTCCTCGTTCAAGTACGCGTGGGTGTTGGACAAGCTGAAGGCTGAGCGCGAGCGCGGCATCACGATCGACATTGCGCTCTGGAAGTTCGAGTCGCCCAAGTCTGTGTTCACGATCATCGACGCCCCCGGCCACCGCGACTTCATCAAGAACATGATCACGGGCACGTCTCAGGCGGACGCCGCCGTCCTTGTCATTGCGTCATCGCAGGGTGAGTTTGAGGCGGGCATCTCGAAGGACGGCCAGACACGCGAGCACGCGCTGCTCGCCTTCACGCTCGGCGTGAAGCAGATGGTTGTGTGCTGCAACAAGATGGACGACAAGTCGGTGAACTTCGCCCAGGAGCGCTACGATGAGATTGTGAAGGAGGTGTCGGCGTACCTGAAGAAGGTTGGGTACAACGTGGAGAAGGTGCGCTTCATCCCCATCTCCGGCTGGCAGGGCGACAACATGATTGACAAGTCGGAAAATATGCCGTGGTACAAGGGCCCCACGCTGCTGGAGGCACTCGACATGCTGGAGCCCCCGGTGCGCCCCAGCGACAAGCCGCTGCGCCTGCCGCTGCAGGACGTGTACAAGATCGGCGGTATCGGCACCGTGCCGGTCGGTCGCGTGGAGACGGGCACGATGAAGCCCGGCGACGTGGTGACGTTTGCGCCCGCCAACGTGACGACGGAGGTGAAGTCGATTGAGATGCACCACGAGCAGCTGGTCGAGGCCACGCCCGGCGACAACGTCGGCTTCAACGTGAAGAACGTGTCCGTGAAGGACATCCGCCGTGGCAACGTGTGCGGCAACTCGAAGAACGACCCCCCAAAGGAGGCGGCCGACTTCACGGCGCAGGTGATCATCCTGAACCACCCCGGCCAGATCGGCAACGGCTATGCGCCGGTGCTCGACTGCCACACCTGCCACATCGCGTGCAAGTTCGCCGAGATCGAGTCCAAGATCGACCGCCGCTCCGGCAAGGAGCTTGAGAAGAACCCCAAGTCGATCAAGTCCGGTGACGCCGCCATGGTGCGCATGGTGCCGCAGAAGCCCATGTGCGTGGAGGTGTTCAACGACTACGCTCCTCTTGGCCGCTTTGCCGTGCGTGACATGCGCCAGACGGTCGCCGTCGGCATCATCAAGGCGGTGACGAAGAAGGAGGGCGGTGCCGGCAAAGTCACCAAGGCCGCCGCAAAGGCCTCCAAGAAGTGATATGAACGTAATTGTTTGTGAGCAAGACCTTTTTTTTGTTTCTGTTTTTTGTTTTTTTATGATTTCTTTGGATTGTAATTTTAGTGTGCGTGTCTGTCTTTCTTTGTCTCTCTCTCTCTCTGTGTGTGTGTGTCTATACATGCGTGCCGCTGGCCCCCGTGATGTCTTTTCCGCCCCACCCACGTTTTTCTTCGCTGACGCTAGGTCTGCTACACAGCTTTTTATTGTTTTTTCAGTCCCGCAAGGTAAAACACGCATAATGGGGAAGGAAAAGGTGCACATGAACCTCGTGGTGGTCGGCCACGTCGATGCCGGCAAGTCCACAGCCACTGGCCACCTCATCTACAAGTGCGGAGGCATTGACAAGCGGACGATTGAGAAGTTCGAGAAGGAGGCGGCTGAAATCGGCAAGTCTTCGTTCAAGTACGCGTGGGTGTTGGACAAGCTGAAGGCTGAGCGCGAGCGCGGCATCACGATCGACATTGCGCTCTGGAAGTTCGAGTCGCCCAAGTCTGTGTTCACGATCATCGACGCCCCCGGCCACCGCGACTTCATCAAGAACATGATCACGGGCACGTCTCAGGCGGACGCCGCCGTCCTTGTCATTGCGTCATCGCAGGGTGAGTTTGAGGCGGGCATCTCGAAGGACGGCCAGACACGCGAGCACGCGCTGCTCGCCTTCACGCTCGGCGTGAAGCAGATGGTTGTGTGCTGCAACAAGATGGACGACAAGTCGGTGAACTTCGCCCAGGAGCGCTACGATGAGATTGTGAAGGAGGTGTCGGCGTACCTGAAGAAGGTTGGGTACAACGTGGAGAAGGTGCGCTTCATCCCCATCTCCGGCTGGCAGGGCGACAACATGATTGACAAGTCGGAAAATATGCCGTGGTACAAGGGCCCCACGCTGCTGGAGGCACTCGACATGCTGGAGCCCCCCGGTGCGCCCCAGCGACAAGCCGCTGCGCCTGCCGCTGCAGGACGTGTACAAGATCGGCGGTATCGGCACCGTGCCGGTCGGTCGCGTGGAGACGGGCACGATGAGCCCCGGCGACGTGGTGACGTTTGCGCCCGCCAACGTGACGACGGAGGTGAAGTCGATTGAGATGCACCACGAGCAGCTGGTCGAGGCCACGCCCGGCGACAACGTCGGCTTCAACGTGAAGAACGTGTCCGTGAAGGACATCCGCCGTGGCAACGTGTGCGGCAACTCGAAGAACGACCCCCAAAGGGAGGCGGCCGACTTCACGGCGCAGGTGATCATCCTGAACCACCCCGGCCAGATCGGCAACGGCTATGCGCCGGTGCTCGACTGCCACACCTGCCACATCGCGTGCAAGTTCGCCGAGATCGAGTCCAAGATCGACCGCCGCTCCGGCAAGGAGCTGGAGAAGAACCCCAAGTCGATCAAGTCCGGTGACGCCGCCATGGTGCGCATGGTGCCGCAGAAGCCCATGTGCGTGGAGGTGTTCAACGACTACGCTCCTCTTGGCCGCTTTGCCGTGCGTGACATGCGCCAGACGGTCGCCGTCGGCATCATCAAGGCGGTGACGAAGAAGGAGGGCGGTGCCGGCAAGGTCACCAAGGCCGCCGCAAAGGCCTCCAAGAAAGTGATATGAACGTAATTGTTTGTGAGCAAGACCTTTTTTTTGTTTCTGTTTTTTGTTTTTTTATGATTTCTTTGGATTGTAATTTTAGTGTGCGTGTCTGTCTTTCTTTGTCTCTCTCTCTCTCTGTGTGTGTGTGTCTATACATGCGTGCCGCTGGCCCCCGTGATGTCTTTTCCGCCCCACCCACGTTTTTCTTCGCTGACGCTAGGTCTGCTACACAGCTTTTTATTGTTTTTTCAGTCCCGCAAGGTAAAACACGCATAATGGGGAAGGAAAAGGTGCACATGAACCTCGTGGTGGTCGGCCACGTCGATGCCGGCAAGTCCACAGCCACTGGCCACCTCATCTACAAGTGCGGAGGCATTGACAAGCGGACGATTGAGAAGTTCGAGAAGGAGGCGGCTGAAATCGGCAAGTCCTCGTTCAAGTACGCGTGGGTGTTGGACAAGCTGAAGGCTGAGCGCGAGCGCGGCATCACGATCGACATTGCGCTCTGGAAGTTCGAGTCGCCCAAGTCTGTGTTCACGATCATCGACGCCCCCGGCCACCGCGACTTCATCAAGAACATGATCACGGGCACGTCTCAGGCGGACGCCGCCGTCCTTGTCATTGCGTCATCGCAGGGTGAGTTTGAGGCGGGCATCTCGAAGGACGGCCAGACACGCGAGCACGCGCTGCTCGCCTTCACGCTCGGCGTGAAGCAGATGGTTGTGTGCTGCAACAAGATGGACGACAAGTCGGTGAACTTCGCCCAGGAGCGCTACGATGAGATTGTGAAGGAGGTGTCGGCGTACCTGAAGAAGGTTGGGTACAACGTGGAGAAGGTGCGCTTCATCCCCATCTCCGGCTGGCAGGGCGACAACATGATTGACAAGTCGGAAAATATGCCGTGGTACAAGGGCCCCACGCTGCTGGAGGCACTCGACATGCTGGAGCCCCCGGTGCGCCCCAGCGACAAGCCGCTGCGCCTGCCGCTGCAGGACGTGTACAAGATCGGCGGTATCGGCACCGTGCCGGTCGGTCGCGTGGAGACGGGCACGATGAAGCCCGGCGACGTGGTGACGTTTGCGCCCGCCAACGTGACGACGGAGGTGAAGTCGATTGAGATGCACCACGAGCAGCTGGTCGAGGCCACGCCCGGCGACAACGTCGGCTTCAACGTGAAGAACGTGTCCGTGAAGGACATCCGCCGTGGCAACGTGTGCGGCAACTCGAAGAACGACCCCCCAAAGGAGGCGGCCGACTTCACGGCGCAGGTGATCATCCTGAACCACCCCGGCCAGATCGGCAACGGCTATGCGCCGGTGCTCGACTGCCACACCTGCCACATCGCGTGCAAGTTCGCCGAGATCGAGTCCAAGATCGACCGCCGCTCCGGCAAGGAGCTTGAGAAGAACCCCAAGTCGATCAAGTCCGGTGACGCCGCCATGGTGCGCATGGTGCCGCAGAAGCCCATGTGCGTGGAGGTGTTCAACGACTACGCTCCTCTTGGCCGCTTTGCCGTGCGTGACATGCGCCAGACGGTCGCCGTCGGCATCATCAAGGCGGTGACGAAGAAGGAGGGCGGTGCCGGCAAGGTCACCAAGGCCGCCGCAAAGGCCTCTAAGAAGTGATATGAACGTAATTGTTTGTGAGCAAGACCTTTTTTTTGTTTTTGTTTTTTTTATGATTTCTTTGGATTGTAATTTTAGTGTGCGTGTCTGTCTGTCTGTGTTTCTGTGTCGGCTGCTTGTGCGATTGCCGGTCACTAAAAAGTGAAGCCTTTAAGAATAGTAATTAGGAATTTTGTTAACCTGTGGAGAGACAAGCGCGCTGTGGTGTGTTTTTTCTGTCTTTCCTTGTGTCTCTCCCTCTCTCTCCGTGTGTGTGTGTGTGCCTACACATGCGTGCCGCTGGGCCCCGTGATGTCTTTTTCGCCCCACCCACGTTTTTCTTCGCTGACGCTAGGTCTGCTACACAGCTTTTTATTGCTTTTTCAATCCCACAAGGTAAAACACGCATAATGGGGAAGGACAAGGTGCACATGAACCTCGTGGTGGTCGGCCACGTCGATGCCGGCAAGTCCACAGCCACTGGCCACCTCATCTACAAGTGCGGAGGCATTGACAAGCGGACGATTGAGAAGTTCGAGAAGGAGGCGGCTGAAATCGGCAAGTCTTCGTTCAAGTACGCGTGGGTCTTGGACAAGCTGAAGGCTGAGCGCGAGCGCGGCATCACGATCGACATCGCGCTCTGGAAGTTCGAGTCGCCCAAGTCTGTGTTCACGATCATCGACGCCCCCGGCCACCGCGACTTCATCAAGAACATGATCACGGGCACGTCTCAGGCGGACGCCGCCGTCCTTGTCATTGCGTCATCGCAGGGTGAGTTTGAGGCGGGCATCTCGAAGGACGGCCAGACACGCGAGCACGCGCTGCTCGCCTTCACGCTCGGCGTGAAGCAGATGGT